CCCGCCCCGCCCAGCGGCCAGGCCAGAGCCGCCCGCATACAAATGGCCTCTTTGCGCTACACTTTATGGTTCATTTCGGGGCGCCGCGACGCCACGCCCCGCCACCCTGCGCGAGGGATCGTCGCGTCGATTTGCGTGCGGCCGCCTTTGCTGGACACTCGTCGAGAGGAAACGGATGTCCCCGATTTCGGCGCGTTTTCTTTTGAACACGAGTGTCGCGTGTCGCAGTGTTGCCCCAAATGTCGTGTGCGGTGCATGCCGCACTGTAAAAATAATTTCTTGTATTTCAAGACCTGGTCTTGGATGCCATTGGCGTTCTCCATAAGATCCAAGACCAGGTCTTGAAATACGAGACACTATTTTCACCATAACCACGCCACCCCGCTGCCCTCTTCATCCTTTCTCAGGAAGCTGCTGTCCTATCCTGTCAGTGTCTACGTTGGCGCTCTCCTGCGGTGCGAAAACCAAGACCCCATCATCGGGGAGGCGATGAGTTGGAGACGAAATCATCTCGGGGGACGATGCTATGTCTCCTCGGTCTTTCGCCACCCCGCCGCGCGCTCTCGAGCGAGTCCCTACAGCTCCCTCTAGCACCTCTTTCTTTGGGCGATCCAGAGTAAATTATTGTGTCGCTCATCTGTCGAAAGGCTCCGCTGGGCACTCCTGCTGGCGCCTACCCCTCCCTTCCCTCCCCCCCCTCTCTCTCTCTCTCTCTCTCTCTCTCTCTCTCTCTCTCTCTCTCTCTATCTCTCTCTCTCTCGCCCCCCCTCCCTATCCCCCTCTCACCGCGCCGCCTATGTCGCCGAGTGTCCCGGTCCAGGCAGTCGGGCGCCGTCGCCTCAGACACCACCGGAGCCAAGAGACATCCCCGTGTGATTGTCCAAGTTCCTTGTGGCATGCGACCAAACTTGTGTGAGTGTGTGTGTGTGTCTTTTTTCAAGACGATAGTTTTGCGCGGGTAGATCCACTCTTTCCCTCTCTCTCTCCTGCGCTGTGCGGTCAGTGGGGTGGAAACGAGATTCCCCGCGCGCCTCGCCCCGCCGCGGCGATCCTATCCGCTCCGCGGAAACCTGACGGGCAAGCCATGTAAATTTGAGCAACTAAGTGTTTTCGCTTCGTAGCGCTGCTGCCCTTCCTTGCCCAGTTTTTATCTCCTCTGCCCCTTGCCCTCCCTTCCCTCCCTTTCCCTTCTCGTTGACTCACCCTTCCCTCCGGCCAGCCGCATCAGGGGCTAGTTTTGGCAAATACACCCGCCCAATCACCTTGTCAGCCGCACATGAGGTAGAGCGCGCTGTAGTTCTTAACACATTTCTGCCGGAGCAGGCTAAGTAATTTGACGTCATCAGCATCTTAGTCGTGTTCTTTCTCTCCCTCTCTCTAACTCTCTACCGTCTCTACCCCTCTCCCTCTCCCGCTCTCCCATCCCCTCTTTCTATCTCTCTCTCTCTCTTCCTCTCTCCCTCTCGAGTTCAAGCCATTTCCTCCGCCTGATTGGCTCAAGTTTGCTTTGCAACGGGCGCTCTGTTGCGACAACGCAGTGGAATCCGATTCTTGCGTCCATGGTGTTTTAGTGGCTAAAGATGGAGCGAGGAAGGAGAGGGGAAAGCGAGGCGGAAGGAACTGACTACCTGCCTCTATCACTCTCATACACCAATCCAAATATGTGTATCGCGCTCGACACAACATCCGAGGAATTCGAGTCGTCGTTAGAGTAGCAGTGTTTGGACGCTACGTTGGAACGGTCGCTAGGTTTCCGAGAACGGCTGGCGACAGTTGGACAAAAGGCTCCATAATTTTTTCCATTTTTATTGGGAAAGTTATCAGAAAACCAAGCAGACGGTTCCACCGAGTATCTTGCTCAACAGATGTGTGTGTGTGTGTGTGTGTGTGTGTGTGTGTGTGTGTGTCAGTGTGTATGTGTCAGTGTGAACTGTGGTGTCTGTGTTATCCAGCGACCTCTAGCCCACTCCGGCCGCTCCAAACTCCAATCGAAACTTGGTCTTTTCGCTTCTTTTGTGAATTTTTTGTACCCACCCCGCTTTCACGTAGCCCCTTCCCCTTTTTGTTTTCCCACTCCCATCATGCCGTTTTTCTGTTGTCAGCTTTCCCCCTCCTTCCTGCTCGTCCCAGCGATCCTGCTGTGCACTTGTCATAGCCATGTTCAATAGCAAACGATATGAGTTTTCTCCCTGAATGTTTTGCAGGAGAACGCGACGCGGCGCTGCCTAGCGGACGGCACATGGTTCGTCAACCTCACCATGAACAGGACGTGGACCAACTACACCATGTGCCACCACGGGGTCGCCACGGTGGTGGTTAGCCTACCTGACTCCGCCAACAGCTCTTTGGTCGCGGTGAGTGAGTCAGTCTTCCTGTCTCGGACGTATTGCGTTACACCGACAAAGCCGTTTGAACCCGACCTAGCCGGCCGGGCCAGACCGGGCCCCACAGCATCGGATTAGCAATGATTGCCTAAACTGTACCCCCCGGGCGGTGGCCGCTCCACAACTGGAGACTGGGGAGACAAAGCAAAGGCAAAGCCGGGGAGAGCAGTCGCGAAGGGCTTCATAGGGCCACATTGTCGTCACTGTGATTCCTTTGGTCAACAAATGCAAAGAGTATTAAAATTCCAATTCGATACCTTAGACTAATCACGCACTTCATCCGCCCGTTTCGAAAAGCACGCAGTTTACCGCTCTAGAGATAGGAACTGCGTGTTTTTCGAAGCGCGCTGCTGAACTGCGTGTCTTTCGAAACGTGCGGCTGAACTGCGTGCCTTCGAAACGCGCAGGTGAACTACGTGCTTTTCAGTCCAAGGTATCGTGCTTAGCTGCGACGACGAAAAGGAAAAGTTTTCGTTTGTTTGTACGTAATAATTTGCAGCTTTTGTGTTCAGAAATATATTTGTACGAGAAATGTGTTTATAATTGTGGGCTATATGTGGGCATGCATGTGCATTGTGCGCTAAACATTTTCTAGGAAATTTGCAACTACTAAATAGTAACTACTAAATTTTTGTGATGTCATTGTGGGCCAATGTTGAATTGCTGAAGAATTTCTTGATAATATACAACAACAACAGTTTAGTACTTAGGCAGATTATTAAGGCCATTACATAATTGCCCATAATTCAAATCAGGCACAAAAATAATTTAATTATCCTCATACTTTTTTAAATTCATTTGAGTAATTAACCATAGTTTGCGACGACGGCAGTGAGGGACTCAGTATAAAGGATGGGGTATCGTTCAATTCTGTCCCAAAAAAACTAAGAAAACCATTCCTCAATTGGGTGCGACATCCGTCTTCATCAAGGGGATGATGGCGAGGCTGGCATTTCCCTTTCAACTTTGACAATTATTCCACGCAAAAGTTTTTCCCCTCCTCGGAGCCGTCCTCCTTGCTATTCCATTTGCAGGAGAAAACCTAATTATCGCTTCTGCTGCTAATGGCGTAGCGCGCGGCTCGGGCCGCGCCCCGTGTCTCCACTGTGACACTTCGCGGTCCCTGATTGCTCTTCTCTCGTGCTCCCCCCCCCCCTCCATGTCTCTCCCTCCTTCCATCTTCTTCTTCTCTCTTTCTCCCTTTCGTTCTCATACTCTGCCTGCCCCCCTCTCGCCCTCGCGGGAGTAAAGCCTTGATAAGCTGCGCCTGACGAAGCCTCGCACGAGGCGGCTACCTCGTGCAGCCGCGTGCCCTGCGCGAGGCTACGACCGCCACCCGTCACGGCGACTGGCACTGACGTGTCGTTCCGCCCTCCCCGACCGCAGCCCGCCCAGAGCCGGGGGATGTTCTTATTTGGTTCTTATATACCCTTGGTATTTTCCATTATTTTGAGGGTGCGCGTCCGGAGGCAGTTTTCTTTCTCTCTCGAGAACAGGGAGGAAAAGAAAGAGAGGAGAGAGGAAGAGAAGATACCCTCGCGGATTTAGTGAATCCAGACCGTTTCCAAAGCAGAGCAGCAGAAATAGAAGCGGTGGTGGCGGCGGCAGGAAATCTGCAGTTTGAATTGTTATTGTTACGACGCCGTATCCAAAATGGCGCAGCCCGGGTCTGAGGAGCGTGCGGGGCACCGAATGAGCTGGCTGCCCTCGCGCATCCCCAAAAAGCAGCTTCATTCAATGAGGCTGCTGCTTTATTTCTGCGCACGCGCGTTAAAAATAATCATCAACGACACAACCACCCCGCTGGGCTTCTTTCAACAATAATGGCGCGTTATTCTTGCGGTTTGCGCGCTCGACATGCGAATGGAACGATTGCGTCGTTCATTTTTACTGGTGTAACCTCGAGGCTAACTCCGCGCGCTGCTCGCGGGTACGTACTACTGTACCCAGCCGCCCCGAGTAGCCTATGCCAAACTTGTCTCGGTTCGCATTGTGTGTATTTACTGGCAGAGTTTTGTTTGTAGCGCTCTCCCTCATCACTATTGTGTTTTGACTACTCGCGTAACTCTTGCCCCCCCCCCCC